CCGGAAAAACCCGGGCCGGCCTTGGCCGCGGCGCGCCTCCGGCGCCGCTCCCGGGCTTCCCGCCCGGCCCCAGGAGGAGGAGGAGGAGCAGGAGGAGGAGGAGCTGGAGGAGGAGGAAGAGGAGGAGGAGGAGGGGGAGGAGGAGCAGGAGAAGGAGGAGGAGGAGGAGGAGGAGCAGGAGGAGGAGGGGCACGCAGCCGGCACTCTGGGCGCGAGGCCGCCGCCGAAGGTCGGAGGGTCAAAGAGATGAGGGTCTTGAGGGATGGGAGTCCTCAGGGTAGGAAGGGATCCCAGGGTGATTCTGCGCTGTCTGAGAGGCCTCCTCCTTCAGACCCCATCCCTCGGGACCCCGTCTCTGAAGCACCGAGAGGTGCCTCGGGGGCCCTCGGGGCTGGGCTGCCGGCTGCGACGGCGGCGGGCGCAGCGGCGGCGGGGCCGCAGAGGGCAGGGGCTCCAGGAGGCCGCGAGGTGCCCCGACGGGGAGGCTCGGGCGAGCCCGCCGGCGGCGCCCCCTGAGAGCCGCGGCTGTGGAGGATCGGTGGTTCAGAGATGGGGTCCTGAGGGATGGGGCCCTGAGGGCGAGGTGGCGCAAACCGCGGGAGCTCACCCTGGGAGCACCTTCCTATCCTTGGGGCCCCATCCCTCGGGACCCCATCTCTGAGCTGTGTCTATGGATGGATGGATGGCTGGATGGATGGAAGTGTGTGTGTATGTAGGTATGTAGATATGCATGTATGTGTGTATGTTTGTATTCATGCATGTGTGCCTGTCTGTATGTACGTCTATGTGTATGTATGTTTGTATGTGTGTATGCTTGTATGTAGGTATGTGTGTGTATGTATGTGTGTATGTATGTGTGCATGCATGCATGTATGTGTATATATATATATGTGTAAATACATGCGCATGTGTATGTGTGTATGCAGGCATGATTGTATGTGCGTATGTATGCATGCATCTATTGATGTGTGTATGATGTATGTATGCATGTATGTGTGTATGGACGTACGTGTGTATGCATGTTTGTATGGATGTTTGTGTGTATGTACGTATGAATGTATGTGTGTATGTATGTATGGATGTGTGTATGTATGCATGCATGCATGTACGTATGTAATGTGTATGCTTGTGAGTTTGCTTGTATGCGTGTGTGCGTGCATGTTTGTAGTTGTATGTATGTGTATGTGTGTATGTGCGTGCATGTATGTATGTATGTGTGTATGTATACGTGTATGTCTGTATGTGTGTGTATGTGTGTGTGTCTGTGTATGGTGATTTGTATGCGTATATGTATGTATATGTGCACGTGTGTGGATGGATGGATTGATGTATGCATGTAGACTTGCCTTCTCAGAAGCCCTCCCGCCTCAGAGAAGGCCACCCCCCTCGCGGTACCCCCTTGGGCGCGCCGCTAGATTCAATACGTCGCCGCGCCGTCTGTTCCGACGCACGACCTTGCGTCTTGGGGATGGCGCCTCGGCCACCAGGGCAACCGCCGCCTCCGGCGCGGTAGGTTTGCCGTGGGGTTTGCTGCGGCGCCAGCGTCGTCTGCTGTGGCGCGGGGCGCAGGGCTTGCCGTGGGTTTGCCGAGGTGTCGGCGTCGCCCACATGGGCGTTCCGAGAACATACTGCGCGGCGACGTGTCCCCTTCTCTTCCAGCAGCACGGACGTTTCGTGGTGCGGCCTTCCAGGACCGTCGACATTGTCCCATGTTGTTGTTGCTACCGTTGTTGCTACTGTTGTTGTTGCTGCTGCTGCTGTTGTTTCTTTTGTTGTTGCTGCTGTTGTTGTTGTTTGCCCCAGGGGTGCAAAGCGGACCTCCAGAGGCGGAGGACGGCGAAACGTCGGCCGTCTCTGCTTCTTCCATGACGCCAGGACCTGGGGAATCACCAACTAATGATTTCCAGAAGGTGCGTTTCTCGGAAAGGTGGGTGCACAACGAACCCCTGTTTTGACAGGAGCGCGGCAGCGGGCGGCACGCACCGGCACTGCCAGGCAGCACAGTTGAACAGCATCAGACGGATGAGCACATTTCCAAAGGCACCCGTTCATCCTTGCAAATTCGGCCCATCCTTAGCCGCTGTCGCTTGCAACGTTCGACCAAAACGCTTCAACTTGGGTGTCCAAGGTCCTCGCGGCCTTTTCTCGCAACCCCACCATCCTGTCGCGCTGCATTTTGTATACGGCGGGGGAAGAGACTCGGGGGAAGTTCGAAGGAACGGGGCGTACAGCACGAGGGGGGACAATAGTCAAGGGAGGAAAATACACCCAGACCGGACAATTGGCGTTTACTAAACGCCCCTGGGAGTTTACTAAAAGCCCTGCCCTGTTCGATTCCTTCCTTGGGTGCGTCTGCTATACGGCCTCGCTTGTCGGGATGGTTATTGTGGGGGGGGATTTCGTTGCCTTCTACATAGGTTTGTGGAAGCTGGGGGGTTTGCGTTTCGGTCTGCGCCTCCATAAAGCCAACGGGCCACCTCCAGAGGCTTCCGTGGACCCTCAGAGGCCCGTGGGGGCCCCGGGAGGATGAGGAGAGGTCCATACCTCCGACGTGGCTTGTTGTGCAGTGTAGCCCGTTTTCTCCGACTTCGTCATCCAGAAGTTTGTCTATTTCGGGCCTCGTCAAACGAGTCTGGACTCAGAGCCGATCCCCCTGGAAGTTGCCGAGAGGTTCTGGGGCCACAGGCTGAACAAAATTACTGCGCTGGACATTCGGGGACGAGGAGGGCAGGGAAGGAGAAGTACACACATTCGTAGTCGGCACGGTTTTTGCTTCTGGGCGATTTGAATTTGTTGTATGGTTCGGCGCGACTACGTTTTTTCATGTTTTCTGATATCCAGGGGGGGGAGACCCCGCCCCCTCCCCCCAAGCCAGACACTCCGGATCCCAGTGGAACCCCTGAACGCCCTTTCAGAGGGTCCCTTTGGACTCCCGTGCTTCCTGGCTGTCCATGCAGGGCTTAGGCCCAAATCGGTCAGGAGTGTGGCCAAACGACCCCCGCAGGAGACCCAAGCGGCCCCAGACACCCACCAGACATCCGAAGACGGCTCAGAGAACACCCCCAAGAGGCAATCCACACGCAAAAAGCATTGAGTTGCTACGGTGCCTGAATAATTTCTGGATGCTCGGCTCTTCGGTCTTCCTGGCATCCGAAAACGCCCAAGAGGCACCGAAATCGTCCCAAAACGACCCGAAAGGGTTTGCAGACAGTCCACGAGAGCCAAAAGACGGCCCAACAGGGCCCCAAGATGGCCCGACGAGAGGCCCAGGATGGCCCCAAGACGCCCCCAGAAGACGCCAAGACGTCACCTGGTTAAGCGAGGTGGCCCAGGGAAGCCCCCAGAGGCTCCCAAAAGGAGCACAGGAGTTTTCCAGAAGCTTTCGAGAGCCCCATCAAAAAATGTGGTTCTGAGGAACCCACAAGGCTCTCCAAGGAGGAACATCCACCAAAGAAATTGAGGAGGACTGAGCAAGGCGACAGCGTAGAAGAGGAAGAGAACAGATGAGGGAAGAGAAAGGAACAACATATAATTACGACGACGGCGAAAACGGCAACAACGAGTTATCCATGTTTTTACGTGTTTGCCTCTCGCATGTCGCCCGCAGGCCGAAATTGAATAACCAAGATGCCTGGCTCGAAGCGAGTCTTTTTTATATATAGTATATATAAAGTTGCTTATTCCTCTTCCTATATGTTTACAAGCCCGGGCGGGGGGAAAACCCGTCACCCCCCCCCCCAAAAAAAAACGGACTCCCGGGATCTAGGGCTTTGGGACCCTCGAGACGGGCCTCGAAGCGGCCCCCCGGGCCTCGCAGGGCGTTTTGCCAAGCCTTCCCAGCACACTTAGGGCGATCAGGGGTATCATCGGAGACGTCCCAGAGCAAGACAGCACAAGCGCTCCAAGAGTGACCGACGTGACTTCAAGATGGCCCAAGAGGCCTCCAGGACGGCCCTAAAGAGGCCTCCAAGAGCACTCCCAAGAAGGCCCCAAGAGGCAAAAATCATTGATGTTCTGTCGTTGTTGGTGAATTTTGGGGTTCTCCTCCTTTCGGCTCCCCGACGCTCCAAGACGGCGGTCTTCTGGGCGTCCGAAGCCGCCTGGGAGGCTCCAAAATCGCACCACAACCATCCGAAAGGGCTTCCAGGCAGCCCAAGAGAGCCCCAAAACGGCACAGCACGGGTCCAAGATGGCCCTCAGAGAGCTCCATGGTGGCCCGAGATGGCCCCAAGACACCCTCCGAAGCATTCCAAATCGTGACCCGGTCGTTCAGGGAGACCGCGGTTAGAGGCAGGGTGGCCCGAGGAAGCCCCCAGAGGCCCCCAGAATACGCCCATGAGGCCTCCAAAAGGCCTTAAGAAAGCTTGAAACAATTTGTGTGAGGCCCCCAGAGGCTCTCCAAGAAGGAGCCTCCGCAAAAAAAGAGTCGAGGAGGATGGGGAGAATGCGCAGGGTATGGCGAACATGAGGAAAAGGAAGCATGGAGGAAGGGTAACAAATAACATTATTACAGCGGCGATGCCGGAAAAAGCAACAAGGAGTTATCGCTAAATTGTCAGCTTGACCTTCTTGCTATTCCGCCTGCGCACCAAACTTCAAGGACCAAGGTGCATGGCGCGAAGCGCCACTGCAGTCTTGTATGTGTATATATATATATATATATATATATATAGCAAGCCAGGTTTAGCATGGGGATTCACGTGTAGGCACGGGGTAAGAGCAACCCGCTTCTGGGTCGGGCGTTCGGAACTTTGCCTCTTCGAGTGTCGCCAGGTAGCTGGCGACAGCCTAGGTTCAGGCTTCGATGTTGGGGTTCGGAACTGTGGGACTTTGATATCTGATCTGACGTTCTTCGTCGCACTGATCTGGCGACTGAGGATGACTGCCTGCCTGCCTGGTTCGGAAGGGTGCGGGGCGGTTTCTGCGTGGATGGGGTCCTCGTTTTGCTCCTCCCCCGGCCTCTCCTCTTCGTCATCCTTCCTGCCGCGTCCTCCGTCGCCATTTTGGGCTCAAGGGATCTTCTCGGGCCAGCACAGCCCCGCAGCTGCACCTCTCCGTCCAGCAGGCCAGGTCTTCCGCCGCGAAGATGACGATGAAATACCCGGCGGCGTACCTGATGTGCGTGCTGGCGGGCAAGGAGGCGCCCACCGCCGCGGACATCCAGAAGGTCCTGGAGTCCGTGGAGTCCGAATACGACGCCGAGATCGCTGGCAAGCTGGCGCCGGGGCCGGGGCAACAAAGAAGGGCGCGGACAATAATATCTGTTCGGAGGTTCGCGATGGTGTCCCGTGTCGGCGCTGGACCCTTCCTGCCCCCACACCCACTCTTCAGAGGAGGACGAGACGCCGATACCGCTGTCCCACCCTCGCCGCCACGGCTGGACTCTCTTCAATCTGGATCAGAACGCACCCCAGGAGAGGTCTGGAGAGCAGCGGTACAGTCAACCCGCGTAGTATGGATGAGCGACTTTCCGCTGTCGTTTTCGCCGCTTCGGCCAATTTTTAGCCGCTGTCGCTGGCCGCGCCCCGCTCGCAAAGTGTCGACGTGACCTTCCAAGGCCCTTACATCCCTAGCGTACGTCTTATGATCAGAGTGAGGGGGCCGAACGGTCATTATTTGTCCCTGGGTGCGTGGCTCTAGTGGGAATCCGTGGTGAGGATTCTTCTTGTTGTGTTGTTGCTGTTGCTATTGTTGTTTGTTATCGTCGTCCCCCCTGCCACCCACCCCGCGACCACCCCGCGACCCACCCCGCGACCCACCCCGCGACCCGCCCTGCGACCCACCCCGCGACCCACCCCGCGACCCACCCCGCGACCCGCCCGCGACCCTCCCGCGACCCACCCTGCGACCCACCCCGCGATCCACCCACGACCCACCCTGCGTCCCACCCCGCGACCCAACCTGCGACCCGCGACCCACCCGCGACCCAGCCCGGACCCACCCGCGACCCATACGCGCCCCGACCCACCCGCGACCCGGCCCGCGACCCACCCGCGACCAACCCCGCGATCCACCCACATTGCTTTAACGAAGAAGTCGGCGCTTGCGGCGGGCTCAATGCATAATTTGTATAAAAGTTGGGCGCCTGCGGCGGGCTTCAGAGCCTCGCAGACTGACGACGTCCTCGCCGCCCCCTTCACTCTTGTCCGCACTTGCGGGGTGCCACGTACGGACTGACTGAATCAGTATCCTTTTGCCCCCCCCCATTAGTTCCACAGCGCCCGTGAATGCCCCAGGGAATGGGGTGTGGGGAGGGGCCGCGCCAGAGGCAGCGCCACCTGGGGGGCTGCGGGGTGCGTGGTCTGGCGCCGACCCAGGATATCCGCGTGGGGCCCCCCGACAGGCCATGTTTGTTAAGTTGTTGTTATCCCTCCAAGCGGGCGACGGGAAAAAACATAATCGATTGCGAGGACCTTCGCGCGTAAGTTTTCCACGTGGAGACTCGCGTACGCGCCCTCTTCTCCACTTGGTGTGCCACGCTGGCGGCCCGCGCAAACCGCGGGGTAAGGTTGCTATGTCACCGTGCGTAGGACCCGGTTCCTTTCGTGGCCCAGGTGTCCGAGCTCGAGGGCAAGACGATCTTCGAGATCATCAAGGATCGGTTGTTGCCAGAGGTGATGTTTGCACAACAAAGTGCCCCTCAGGTCTCCGCTTCATTTTCAGAGGCCACCGGGGCCATCCTGCAAGACCGAGGGCCACCCTGGACACCCAGAGATCCAACGCATTGGTTTGTCCAATGCGGGGTCTCTGGGAGCCCCGACCGTCTCCCCGGGGCCAGCCTTTCGTCCGGAGTAGATTCTTGACGGGCCTGGGGCCTGGCGGGGGCGACACCGAAAACAGAAAACAGCGTTTTAAAAAACGCGTTGGTTTGTTCACGCGGGTGTCCATCCTGAGGCGGATCCAGCCGTGGCAACGAGAGGTTTCCAGCGGCACCCAGGGGGCACGGGAATCGCCAGGGGGGGGTCGGCCCTCCTCCAAGTCCAGACAAAAAAAACGGGAATTTGGGGACCGTGGCGAGCACGTTGGCGGCTGGAGCGCCAGGAAGCGAGACAGAGGTGAGGCGAGTCTCGTTGGAAGCTCGACCGCGCGTAATAGTGACCCTTCGCCAGACTGACCTTGGGTGCGGTAGCAGCGGCTTGTGCGCTTGGGTTCGGCCACCTCCCCTGCGCCCCCCGAAGAAGCCATTCACTGAAGGTACGGCAGGTTCGCGTCGTGTCGACCGGCAGCGACCCCGCCGAGGGCGTTCAAGGTTGAGCGCCGTCAGTGGCCCAGAATCGACTTACCTGGAACGATCGGGCGATCGAACAGCCGCGGATCGTTCAAGGTTGAACGATCCCCGCGGTGTCAGGAACCAACGCCCAAGTCGTCACGACGCGAACCTGCCGTAGCCCTTGCCTAGGGCCACTCGTGCGTGCAGCCGAGGCGCCAGGCTCGGGCGAAGCGAGGCTCGGGAAAAGAGAGCAATGCTTCGGGGCGGAGCGGCCTCCAGCGCCAGGACGGCAAGGAGAAGCTGAAGGGCTTCGGCGGCGGCGGAGGCGGCGGCGTCCCCGCGGCGGGCGGCGGCGGCGGCGGCGGGGGGGGCGACGAGGCGGCCGCCGTGAAGGAGGAGAAAAAGGTCGAAGAGGGCGAGGAAGATCAGATCTCCTCCACTTGGTTGTTCCCTATCATCCCTCTAACTGCGTCCTCGTTGTGACTGGAGCACTGCTTGCTCCAACTGCTCCTCCTCCTCCTCCTCCTCCTCCTCCTCCTCCTCCTCCTCCTCCTCCTCCTCCTCCTCCTCCCCTTCCTCCTCCTCCTCCTCCTACGTTTCCTCCTCCGTCTCCTCCTCTCTTCCTCCTCCCTCCTCCTTTTCCTCCTCCTCCTCTTCCTCCTCCTCCTCCTCTCCTCCCTCCTCCTCCTCCCCTCTCCTCCTCCTCCTCCTCCTCCTCCTCCTTCCTCCTCCTCCTCCTCCTCCTCCTCCCTCCTCCTCCTCCTCCTCCTCCTCCTCCTCCTCCTCCTCCCATCCTTCCGCCTCGCTCTCGCACTCCCTAAGGGGGCTGCAACCTGCGCAAGGCCAACTGAGAAAAATCAGCAGGCCTCGCCAACTCAGTTTTTTTTATCAACAGCGTTATGGCGTTTCCCCCCAACAAAAAAAAAAACAAAAACGCATATCGCTCTGGGTTGCCCGTTTGGAGTGAGGCTCTCTTCGCGCGACTTCGTCCCGCCACCCCTAATTACGTTTCCTTCCTTTTCCCGCGCAACGTCCCTCTTCCCTTCGGCCTCTTGCCTGTCGTTTACCAACAATGCTGCCGCTTGTTTGAACTATCTCTCTCTCTCTCTCTCTCTCTTTCCCTACCCCTCTCTCTCACCCCTTTTATTGTGTTATTTTTCTCTCGTTTGATAGTTCTCTCTCTTTCTCTCTCTCTCTCTCTCTCTCTCTCTCTCTCTCTCCCCCCCTCGATATCTCAATCTCTCTCTCTCTCGCTCTCTCTCTCTCTCTCTCGCTCTCTCTCTCTCTCTCTCTCTCTCCCGCTCTCTCTCTCTCTCTCTCTCTCGCTGTCTTTCTCGTTCTCTCTCTCTCTCTCTCTCTCTCTCTCTCTCTCTCTCTCTCTTTAGTCCCCTCTCTCTCTCTCTCTCTCTATGTTTCCTATGTGTATTTCATATACATACATTATATACATATATATATATATATACATATACATATACATACATATATATGTATCGCGTTCCCTTTCTCTCGGTGTCTCTCTCGTTCTCGCTATCTCTCTCTCTCTCTCTAACCCTATCCCTCTCCCTCTCCCTCTTTATATAAATACATATACACATGTACATATACATGTGTAAATCAGTACATTGTGAACAGGTCACTTCTGTTTATATAACATGCTGTGTTCTCTCTCTCTCTCTCTCTCTGTTTCCCGCCGCTCATCGTCATACTTCATCCCGCGCTGATGACCTCCATGATGCGTGCAGCGTTGTGGCCCTTACGTTTCGGGCGATGTTGGGCACCTGGTATACCCACGCGACGCTCCCAGGGTGCCAGACGGTCGCCGTGCCATCTGAAATACGTTCGCACACAGTGACTCGCTCGCAGTTCCGTGTGATACGGCTTTGGCGACGGGACATCAGAGTTCGACCGCCGTGATGTCCGACGGCTTTTTACTTCCTATGTCATTCTTCAGTTCGACACACAGAGTGCCACAGTACTGTGCGTTTCTTTCCTGCTGATTTTTTTTGCGGTGGCAGGGTGATGGCCGGATTCCATGACGTCTTCGAGCAGGGAAGCGATCGAGTGATCATAGGCCAGTGTTCGGGATTCCGTGCGCAATGATTGCCCAGCTCCACCAGATGTCGACGCTCTTTTGCGACAACCTCCAAGGGTGGTTCGGCCGCCTGCTGTTGGAAGAGATTGGGCGAGAAGTTCGGATTTGGAACTTAAGGTACCAACAAACACCGTCGGAAAAGAGCCAAAAAGTGGCCATCCAGAACAATCCATCCAGCTACGGCGCGAAGCCGATCGACCCGGACGAGAATCGGTGGTCGACGTCATCGAACGATCATTGGCGGATGGAATCGCAGCTTCCGAGGAGATGCAAAGCGCCTCTTGGTCCGCTGGCCGCTCCTCATCCTGCGCGTCACGGACCACAATTTTGCACGGCCAGTCATTCATAGCCCCATCATTGAGGAGGCTCGAGTGCCACGAGGGTTCGCTGCGATTGCGCTGCGGCAGTGGATCTGGCCCCAGCGATCCCATCGACATTTCATTCCACGCATGATCAGCCCCCTTCTCATCTTGCCCGAGTATGTCGCAGGCCCCCCGCGGCCAGATGTCAGACCTCCTCGCAGGGTGTACTTGTGGAGCACCGCAGCTTTCTTGCGACGTTGGCAATGGTTCGGCTTCGGGGCGCCCAGGCGCAGACGAAAGTGCCCCCCTGGACACGGCAGGTGTTCACCGAGATTGCCCCAGACCTCCGCCGGCTTCTCAGGTTTGGGACAAACCGTTTCTCCTCCAGATGTTCAGGTGCTTATTGTGCCCACCGATGGAGATCCAGGCGGCCGCCCATGTTCATGGTGGTCGCAGTGGTTTGCGCACCGGCAAAGCAGGGCCCAGAGACATCGCGACGCCCGGGTTGGTAGACCGAGATGTCGAACACGCGCGAGCCGCGCGTTGCGCCCGCGCGTCGGCCCAGGACGCCGACGCCAATGCCGCGCCCTGCGCCGCAGTGTTTGGTTCATTCTTATTCCTTAAGGTCATTCTTCTACGCGCGGAACTCGCGCCCTACCGCGTCGAGTCGACGGCGACCAGGCGCTGCGCTACCAAGTGCAATACGTGCGACGCGCTGGAGACCGAGGCAATGAGTCGCCTAATTGGGGGCAGGTTAACGCTCGACGCAGAAGACACCACGTGCCCAGCGGCGCCGACCAGCGAGTCCGCGCGGAAGCCACCGCGCGCTCACTGGCGCCCTAGCCCGGCCATCCGCACTACCAGGTGCCAGGCCAGCGCGCCCCCCCCGAGCGCGGACCGCGAAGTCGCGGCAGCGCGCCCTGGGCCCTCGCGGGGCCCAGCTCCGATCGCAGCACTCATTGACCAGCTCCAACGCGGGGGCGCCGCCATGTCACGGGACGGATGGGGCCCCAATGGCTCGTCGGCGGTCAACGACTCGGTCAACGACTTGCAGTCATTGCAGCAGCGTGGAAAGACATCCCAGTTCCCAAGCACTGGATCCGTCTTGAAGTTGGTGCGCATCTCTAGTCTGTCTGAAGTCTGTCCGCCCCCAGCGCACGTCGGCGCATCGCATCGAGCGGCATCTACAGATCGCGTGCGTCTCACCTGCGCTCGACGCCCCCCTCTCCATCTACCACCGGGCTTTCAGGCGATCGAGCGCAGCCAGTAGGCAAGCTCCGCCATTGCGGCAATGGTCACGCCCACGAGGTCTTCCCCGACTCGGGGGGCGCGCGCCCAGCCGATGAGGGCGGTCTTCGCCAGGGGACCGAGCGTGAAGGACCACGCGTCGGCCAGCCTTCCCTGCGCTGACCACGCTTCCAGCGCGCTTCCTCGCCAGCCAGACGGGCCCCAGTCGGCGCCCGGCGACTGCGACGTCTCGGCGGGCCACGGCGAGCGCCGGCGCGGCCGCGCTCGCGGCGAGCCACGCGGGAGGCGCGCGCAGCCCCTGGCACGTGAGCAGGCAAGGCGCTCATCCCGCGACGCATGCTCCGACGCGGCCCCCGGCTCCTCGGCCCGCGGCCCAGCAGCCGTTGGATCGCGCCACCCGATCGGCAGACGGCCGAGGAGGGCCACTCAGCATAGCCTCTTCGAGTCGGGAGAGCGCGCCATCATTGCCGATGATAGGGGGCGCCACGAGGCGCGAGCATGCGACGACTGCAACATGGTGACGCCTGCGCCAGCTGGCGATGCCGGACCCAGACTGGACACCAGCTTGACGCCTCACCCCGCGACGCGGCTGCGTGGACTCGGGGCCGCGCAGTCGCCGCGACACATACGCGGCCGCGCGCCGCCGGGCCCCCGGCGCCGCCGCCGGCGGACGCCATGCCCAACGCGCGCCCACCGACGGCCAAACGAAAGCGTCTCCCCCGCGGGGCGACAGGCCACGCCGCAAGCCGTTCCATACCCGCCCCCGCAGGGTCGCGAACTGTTCGGAAGCCCTATGGTTTTCGAGTTGTCGAACGAGCCGTTCGGGATCGACTTTCCAGGAGTGGCCTGAGCTGCGAGGTTTTCAACGCCGAGAAGGCAGCTGATGGAATCCGCCGCCTCCGTCGACCTCCCCCCCCTCGCCATGCCCCCCAGCGCTCGCGATGCCCCCGGCCCGCCACCTGGCTCGGCATCGCAGCTGCAGATGCGGGCCAGGCCATTTAGCAGCGCGACGCATCGGCGGCATCAGAAGCGTGGACAGAGTTGCACATCGATTTGGAGTAGATGCCACCTGGAAGCAACCCCGCGCCAGACGAAGCTGGACAGGGTCGATCCTCTCTGGCTAGTTCAAACTCTCGGCGTTCGGCGCGCGCACAGCGTCGGCGGCGCGCCCGTGGAACCCCCCTGGCGCTTCCACCCCCACGCGCCCACACACACACACACACACACACACACACACACACACACACGCGCACGCACGCACGCACGCTCGCACACAGACACACACACTCACATCGGAGGCGCCCTGCGAGGCGCTCATGTGCTCATCGGTTCGGTGCTCACGCGCTGGTCTGATGGGCCACGGCTGGGCGCTGCTGGGTTCCATCGGCCCCCAGGGCAGGACGTTCTACCCCCGGTCCAAAGACGCTACGTGGATGGCTTAGTGGGCAGCATAAGCACGCACTACTGCAGAGCATGCACGCACGCGTACCTACACAAAGTTCATCCCATGCGCCTTAACCTTTCGGCGAACGTCGAGGCACCGCAGAGCCTGGCACCTGGGCGGATCTGGAGTTGCACGCAGTCGACCGCGCTGTCCACATCCAACAAGACCCCCAACCGCCCGCGGCCAACAGGCGAGGGCGAGGCATGCCCCAGGACCAACGTCATCTGTTGCTGCCCATGCTGATCCGTGGAGTGCGTTTTGTTCACGGGGTCCGAGCAGCGCTTCGGGTTTGGAGCCACCACTTCCAGCGCGCCACCACGTTTCCAGCCATGGGTGGGGATGTGACGCGCGGCGGTGCAACGATTCCTGGAGCAGCCACCGCGGGTACAGGACCTACGTCCAGAACCGCGAGCGGGGTCGAGACCGTGGCCCCGGTCGCAACAGGCAGGGCGAATCCCGCGGCGGTGACCGCGGCCGTGACTGCCGCGATTCAAGTTCAGGCCGTAATCGGGGCTGCAACCGAGACCGCGATCGCCGCGGCGCCAAACGGAGTCGTCGCTCGGATGGCCACCGCGAGAGGAGCGAGGTGGCTGCACTGCTTTCCGCAAGACGCTCGAGGGCAAGGACAAGGAAGTCAGGGCCTTCCCCACGACAAGGCCTGCCGCGAGCGCGTGCTAGAGCTGCACAAGCAAGCATGGAGAATTTGTCGCAAACGCACTCGGGTCCGCGTTGAACGGCTAGATGGAGGAGCTACGGAAGGCCCAGGCACCGAGCCATTGCCCGCCCGCGCCCCCAGGTCGCCCCCCCCCACCCACCCACCCCACCCCACCCCACGTTCGCCATCGGGGCCCATCTCTCGCTCCGAGCCGGGCCGGCCCCAGGCGGGCGCGAAGGTCGCGCTGCCGACGCCGGGACGGAGGGGCGACATGTGGGGCGCGGTCGGGAAGGCCGCGTCTCGCGATAGAAGAAGCCACCAGGGTCCACCAACTGGACCATTCTCGCGACCGCGCCCCGCAAGAAGCTTCCGCCCCCCGAATTACAAGAATAAGGCGTCGATGTCCATAGATATTGCGTTCGGTGAGGTAGACCGGGTGCTGACCATCGTCGAGGCACTGAGTCTATCCGCCTTGGGACAGCGAGCCAGGTCAGACTGATCACAGCTTCCTTTGCCTATGGGGCCCTCTGTGGGCTTTCCTTTCACACCCTCTTCTCAGCGGGAGGCGCGCGCCATTCAGAAATTCTCAGGTCCGGGCGGCTGCTGAGTCCCGCGCTCGCGAGGCGCCCAGCTTTCAAGCAATCTTGAATGCGTGCGAGACGCATTTTGCAATGTTCAGTTCGGGGGGAAGCTCCGTGGCCCAGGGCGACATGAGTCATGGGGCTGGCTCGGATTACTGCAATAGACGACGTTCGTGGCGGGACCGCGCCACCCCTCTTTCCCGCGCCCAACGCCCCCCCAAGGTTCCGCCGCGGTGATGTGCCAGAGGAGCAATGCCTCGGTCCTTCCCTCGTCCCCCCTTCTGCAAGCCCCCGAGGACTGCTTGGCCTGAGCCGCGGTCGCGTGCCCGGACCGCTTACCGGGCTGGTTGTTCCCCAGATGGCCAGGCCAGACGTGAAGTTTCACCCCTAGTTGTTTTGTTGCCCCGCCTACACCGCTCCCCACCCCTCTTCACCACCCGCTTCCCCCCTCCTCCCCCCCCCACTTCACCAACTCATGCATTGACCGTGCCGGACCATTCGCGGAGTATTTATGGCGGGAGAAACTCTCTCTTTCATTCTTGCTATATCAATGTATCGGTATAGTCATGTTGTTTTTTCCTTCTCTATGTATTGCTCTCTCTCTCTCTCTCTCTCTCTCTCTATCTCTCTTTCTCTCTCTCTTTATCTTTGTCTCACTTTCTCATTATTTCTCTCGCTCTCTCTCTCTTTCTCTCCTCTCTCTCTCTCTCTCTCCGATGTCGCTATCCATATATGGTTTGGTACATATATATATATGGGTCCTGCCGTATCCCCGCCCCCCTGACAAACTGAGCAGAGGGGGCCGATTGTCCAGGGTCCTCTTCCTCCTCGTCCTCCTCCTGCTCCTCCTCCTCCTCCTCCTCCTTCTCCTCCTCCTCCTCCTCCCAATCAGATTCCCCTATCGAAGGCGGAACCAAGCAAAACCATAGGAAACCTTCGTCGTCGTCCTCGTCGTCGTCGTCGTCTTCCTCCTCTGTCTTGCCATTGTTCTGAAGAGAGTCTGCATCCGTGGCATCCAAACAAGGGGCGAGCGAAAAACAACAACGGCAAGGAAAAACCAAAAAAACCTAAGGAAAAAACAAAAAAAAAAAAAAAAGAAATCAAAGGCAGACCACCGAAAAACAAAAAAAACCTAAGGAACAACCAAAAAAAAAAAAAAACAATACTTGCTCTTGGGGGCGCGGGGGTGGACGAAGCACTGAAATCTTTGGTTTTTGGGTGTTTTTTGGGGTGTTTCCTTGGGTTTTTTTTTTTTTTGTTTTTCGGTGGTCTGCCTTTGATTTCTTTGGTTTTTTTGGTTTTTCCTTAGGTTTCTTTGGTTTTTCACCCCCCTCCGCCAGGCCCCCGTGGGAGGCGGACGGCTCCGGACGCTCCCAGGAGGCCCCAGGACACCCCTGGAGGCACCAGAGAGGCACCAGGGAGGCCCCAGAGATGTCCCAGAGACGCTCCTGCAGAGGACCCAAAAGGGAACCCAGCAAGGGACCCAGGAGGAGACCCAGGAGGGAACCCAGGAAGGGACCCAGGAGGGAACCCACGAGGGTACCCAGGAGAGAACCCAGGAGGGGACCCAAGAAGGAACCCAGGAGGGGACCCAAAAGGGAACCCAGCAAGGGACCCAGGAGGAGACCCAGGAGGGAACCCAGGAAGGGACCCAGGAGGGAACCCACGAGGGTACCCAGGAGAGAACCCAGGAGGGGACCCAAGAAGGAACCCAGGAGGGGACCCAGGAGGGAACCCAGGAAGGGACCCAGGAGGGAACCCAAAAAACAGGTTACGATCACTGTGCCCGAACACAAGGCCACATGGTTGCACGCCTGTTACGCAAGGACACCAGCAACGGCTCAGCATCAGTGGTGATACCACACAACAAACCAAAACTTCAACACTGCAAAGCGCTTCCATGGCGTTACTCTGGAGGGCATCCGAAAAACGGATGCCCCTCCGTGGCGGACGCGGACCCAGGAGGGAACCCCAAAAACGGGTTCCCATCACTGTGCTCGAACACAAGGCCACATGGCCGCACGCTTGTTACGCAACGACACCAGCAACGGCTCAGCATCAGTGATGACACCACACCACAAACCAAGTCTTCGACACTGCAAAGCGCTTCCACGGCGCTACTCTGGAGGGGCATCCAAAAACGGATGCCCCTCTGTGGCGGACGCGGACCCAGGAGGGAACCCAAA